CTTTATATTCATCAGATCAACTATGCTCACCTTGGTTTCTTCTCGAAAAAAGTGTTCGTGGAAACTATTTTCCAGTTGTGCCCAAGTAATAATCGAATTAGGTGGTAAAGTTGTAAACCACGTAAAGGCATGTTTGGTTAGTGAACTTGGAAAATATTTCATTTTCAGATATTCATTACTCACTAGGTCCCCACACTCGACTAAATATCTCCCTATATGTTCTACGGTGGATTCACCTAACTCTCCTGCAAATTTCAAGAATTTCGGGGCTTTCGTCCCCCTGGGTAGTTCAGATTAGGTTATATAGTCAGGAAAGGCAGATATAAAGTAAGGGTGCTCAAATTCGTGCCTATTCAGTACCCTCTCGACTATATGATCCAAATTTTCCTCGACGTTTCTCAGAGGTCCCCCTTGATTGAGGTGAATTCGAGGTCTAACAACCCCTGGAATATTTGTCTCATTAATGGTCGGATTTTTGAAACCGTTCAAATTCACACTCGTATCTCTTGAAGGTCGATTATCATTGATTTTATCTCCTATTTTGTTTATTAGCTCATATAGGGGTGTGAGTATGTTGTGCATTTGCGTAGACAACAAATTTACCATATCGTGGTTACTATGATACATTTGTTGTCGAAGGGCTATCATAGCTTTACTGCTTATACCCGTGGGTATATAATTACTTTGTCGAACCAACGACCCTTCTTGGCTTATGCCAACATGCTGGTGAGGATCGTGCATGATAAAGCCCATCCCATTTGGGGCTTCATTATACCCATATAAGGATATTTGCATTTGAGGATTCTGCCCAGAATATGGTATTGGCATTTCTACGCTCATGGGCTGGGTACTTCTCCAATTCGAAGGCATCCCCCATGGGTATTCGCGGGTAGCGTTCACCATTTCCTGTGACGCATTCAGAAATCCCGCGGAGTTCGGAATACTTACAGGAGGTGGAGACATTGCCCCTAGCCTTATTTGCCACATTTTCTTGATTTGTATTATGATTTTCTCCATTACCCTGTTCTTCATTATGCGCATCTCTTTTGCTGGATGTAGACATAGTTCTTCCACTTCTAAGTCTCATAAAAATATAAACACACACAAAACTAGTTCAATTAGTTCAATTAAGTTCACCAAACGAGTCTCACTGGGCGTGCCAATTTGTTTGTGGAGGATTTCATTCGTAGGTTCTTTTTATTTGAACTAGCACGATTACAATTTATGCGTGTTCGTGACATGACAGATTCGAAGACTTTTAGTGAAAAAATCGTACAAACAACAAATAGAGTCAATTGATTAGGGTGTTGTTTTAGCATAACAAAAGATCTATGCTTGTTTTTGTTAGAAAATAAATTTAATAGAACTTATATTTATATTTTTCAATAAAACCAATATCAACAACACAATCACTACTAGAAAAATTAAAATTAGAGAGGGAAAAAATCCGTCACTAAACTTCATAAAATCCGTCACAAATAAGTTAGTGACGGAATTTGTGACGGAAATGATTCCGTCACAAAATTTGGCGTCAAAAAATATTTAGTGACGGATTATTTTCTCCGTCACAATTAGTGACGGAATTAAGGCGTCACAAACAATATAATTTCCGTCACTAATTTGTAACAATAAATGTTTAGAAATTAATAAATATCCGTCGCAATTTGTGAGGGATTAAATCCCTCGCAATTTGTGAGGGATTAAATCCCTCGCTATTTGAGAGGGATTGAGAGGTATGTGAGTCCCTCACAAATTGTGATGAACGAATCCGTCACAATTTGCGACGAAGAAAATCCGTCACAAACTGTGATGCCTATTATTGAGTAGAACCCGTCACAATTTGCGACGCCATAAATCCGTCACAATTTGCGACGGATAAAATCCGTCACTAACTGGGTTGAATCCCTCACAAACTGGGCGTCTTTAATGAGGAAACTATTGTTTGAAGAGTCTGGTAATCGATTACCTATACATGTAATCGATTACCAGACAATGAAAATCATATGTTCGCAATTTACTTATTAAAAGGTTCTCTGGTAATCAATTACCTATTTCTTGTAATCGATTACCAGTGTCACAATAAAAGAATACTCATAATGTGGAAGTAGAAATTATATTTCCAATAACAAAAATAACAGTGTATAGTTCAAAAATTTACAATTCAAATTTCTATTGTAAATCAAAGTATGACATAAAATCCATAACAAAGTAATATTAGTCTTATACTAATTAAACTTTAAATCCAAAAAATACACTATAAGCAAACTAAGGGTTGTTAGCACCAGTAGATCCACTTGCTTCCAAAGGTGTATTAGGAACACTTGAAGCATCATTTGGCTGAAATAAGAAAAGAAAAAATAGTTAGTTATATATACTATATACAAGGGTGTATCACACATACTATATCATAATGACAATCAATAAAAAAAAATAAATTCCAAACAATTATTTTAATATTCCAAACTTATGCATAGTTATTACTTTGATCATGTATGTTTACTTATAGACCTAACTTGAGATAAAAAGTATTAAGAACTAGCCAAAATGAAGAAAATCAGACAATGATGTTAATGAAGAACTAGCCAACATGTTCAAATAAAAATTAGAAGCATTTTTTTAGAGTTTTTCTACAGAAAATAAATAATATTTTTCTATAAGAAAACTCTTTTAAGAGCTTCTAAATTTGTATACAAATAGATTCTATGTTCAAATCCCAAGAACACAAAGTACCTTTGAACTTCCAGTAAATGAAACTAGGGAAATGCAAGTGTCTTTTACTATTGCCTGACCAATTTCAGCACCTCCACAGAAAGAGGTGAATATTGCACCAATAATGTTTTAGACCAACTCATCAATAACTGTATAAGAACAGAGGATTTGCAAAACCAATTAATTCACCTAGCGAGACATTACAAATGAAGCATTGATAATCATAAAACAAAAACTGAAATATCATCTCACAAAAACGTGGAATATCAAAAAAACAATTAAAAAGGTTGACAACACATGGTATCACCCATTAAAGCCCTGAGCATACGAATTAAAACATCGCCCATTTTGGAAATTTGCTTAACTAAGCAATTATTCTTATTCTTTGTTCACAAGTTGGGCTAGGTGAAGTTGACGCTCAAAGGAAAGGAGAGGAATGGATGGTGTTTGGTGGTGTAGCTCCTTTAGGCTAGCTCACTTCACTTAGGATGATGAAGGCCAACCAAGGAAGACCCAAGCTCACTCTAGGTAGAGAGCCCTTCTATATTTTAGTAAACTGGGACCAACATATGTAATGCGTGAAAATGATCAAATTGGTTTGATATTGTCAAACCACTTAAATTGCTCAAGTGTTGTAGGAGAGTCCCGTAGGTGAATGTGTGACAATGCATTAGTCGAGGTGTATTCATATGATGTGTTTGTTGTTCATTTGCTTCAATGATTATATTGTTAAATGAAATGATTGTGGTATAAGTTTGAATTACAAGAGTTGTTTTCCTTTCAAACTTTTTGACGCCGTGTTGAGTATTGTATGATGTGAACCATAGGGTGCATGTTGGGTGGTTTACATTTTGTTGTTGGTAGTACAGTGTATTTCATCTATACTTATTTTATGTTAATTCTTTTGAAATGAAGCTTACCGTTGCATGTTTCCTAATACTTATAGATTGCGATGATCATGTTTATATGAGAGTAGGACAAAGTTAGTTGGAGACAGGTGAGAGATTTGGTGAGTCATGTTATTGGCATTGTATCCCCTAACTACTTTTGTTTATTTTGCTGTAGTTGTTTGTATATATAGATGTATTTATTTAGCTTTTCAGTTACTTTTGCAAAACTTTATTTTGTGTGCCTGTGTATATATATATGTATGTATGTATGCATGTATACATGTATATAGTTTATTACGATGTTTTTCATAATATATAACTATATGAATCTTAGATATGAGTTGTATTTTTTTGCTACAAGTAGGTGATTCTATTAAGTGTAAGTATTATGATGGGTCGTTACACAAATCCTAAATCTTTAGAGAATGGGAAATATATTTTGGTGATTTCATCTTTCATAAAAGAGCTAGTATATTTTTTTCAATATGTTTTTATAATGCATTTTATAATTAAGTAAAATAAAGTATAAAATAAAATAAATAATGTAAAGAAAATAAATGAAAAGGATTTATAAAAAAAATAATATAACTACTTCCAAAATATTAAATTAAGGGTACCATTCCTAGTGGTTCATATCCACCAACCAATCCATGGTACATCACATGCAGCAGTAGACCTTTCCACCTAAAGTGTCCGTTTGCATTTCATGAAGTTTAAATATAGTTTCAATAAATTACATTACCTTTTAGTTTTCTGTATTAATTTTGGGTATGATTTTAGTTTACTCTTTAAAAAAATCTATTTTAGTCTATATACCACTTTATAAATTAAAAATAAAATGTTAAGCCAAAATTGGTGATCCATAATATTGCTATTTTTTAAAATTAAGAATAATTTTAATTTTGTATTTGAGATTAATTCTATTAAAATATTAAATATAAATAATTAATGTATTTTTCAACTTACATTTAAGGTTAATTTTGTTGAAATATTAAAAATAAGTTAAAAAAATACATGACAAGCAATAACTTAAAATACATTAATTCCATAAGGTCAAATAAAAGTCTCAATTCACAAAGTTAAAATAATCCAAAATCATAAGTTAAAATGAAAGTCTCAATTCACAAAATTAATAGAGAAAGGGCTTGTTTGGACAAACACTTTAACTAAGATCTTATTTAATAAGATATTGAGCCCATTTGAATAAATAGCTTAATTAAGATCTTATTCAATAAGCTCTTATATAACAAGTGCTTATGATAAGTACTTAAAACTTAATAAGTTGTTACCTTTAGATGTACATGTTGATAAAACCTTATATAATCTTATAGTATTTGAATATATTATTATTATTTAAGCACTTATAAGATGTATGGAGAAAAAAGATAAACACTATAAGAGGTTGAATAGTGTCTATAAAAAACTCACTTTTTCAAATAGTGTAGTAACACAAACCAGAAAGAATGTTTTATGAAGAGTCAAGAGACTAAACATATAGAATTTTATATTGGTTAATCTCAACCACCAAGACCACATACAATTCTCGATCCAAGGGTATATAATTACTTTGTCGAACCAACGACCCTTCTTGGCTTATGCCAACATGCTGGTGAGGATCGTGCATGATAAAGCCCATCCCATTTGGGGCTTCATTATACCCATATAAGGATAATAGGCCAGGGCACACCAACACCATGGTGGTGGAAACGTGAGAGAGGTCGCAGAGGCCCTTAGGGTTAGCAATAGTCTCAATCTTGTGGGCCAGGACCACCGCGATGCAGTCACCCCGGAGACGGACGCCCTTCACCTCCGACCTGAAGGAGAGCTCGCTGATGCACCGGGACTGGTGGTCGTCCCAGATCATCACCTTGTTTGGAGTCGCCGCCCACGAAGGCGAGGATGTTACATCGGAAGATCATGTGGACGAGGCCCACACCACCTTCGGGGCTGAAGTCGCAGCAGAAGATCTCGCGGAAGGCGTCGCAGTTGTAGATGTGGAATTCGTGGTCGGTGGCGGCGATGAAGTAGCCGGAGTCCTGGTTGAAGGAGAGGTGGAGGAGTGGGAATCGGGGGTTTGGGTGGCAGTGGC